CAGATGTAAAGACTGAGAGGAATTTCCAATCAATTGGGTTTAGGGAGGAGAGGGAAAGAGAAAAATAGAAAATGACCCTGAGGTTTCACATTCCGATGGCCAGATGAGTGGGGATGTCTTAACATTTCAGCTCCAACTGCTACTTCCTTGTGACTCAATTATCCCAGGACTCTCCTGGCTGCTGACAGCAAGTAATTGAGTTAAAGATTATTTATAGCAAAAACAAAATAAATAAATGAAAATAAAAGCAGCATTGGAAGCCAACAGAAGTCAGGGAAGCCAGTTTCTCCCAACAAATCTAGCCTATGCAGATAGCCCTAAACTGACCCTATTCTCAAGTCTCTCAGGTGTGAAAATAACTGAGTAGTTCTCTCTCAAGCTGGCAGACAACAGGACTTCTTTTTAGCACCAAAGCTGCTTAGAGGGTTGGTGCTGGTAAGTGGTGAAAAGGGACTGACGAACAGGGCCCACCCACAGTTTTATGACATTTTGTTTTCTCTTAGATCAATACTGAAAAAAGTTTTCAAATTGTGAGGGAGAATGAATCTTGGTAATTCTGATTTTATCAACAAATACAATTGATCAAATTTAAATTTAAATTTAAAGTCCATAGATGTGAAATTTAGTGTAACAGAAAATGTATTTTAATAGTAATGTTGTTACAGTTAATATTCTATTGGATGGAACAGAAATATATATAAACAAAAAGTTAAAATGAATAGCAAACAAACTTCAGGCAAGATATTCCCTGGAAATCTTTCTTATTGTTTGAATTACTCACACACAAAATATGTTTCTATTCTTTTTTTAAAAACTACCATCTGTATCTCTTCTACACAATTCAGGAATCAGAAGAGCTGAATGTTTTATATGTCATATATCTTATATAAAGCTATTATAAGATTTATTTTTGAGCTATTAAAATGTTAACTAAACTATATTGTCTCATTAATAAGTTATTATTACATGTAAATGATAAAAAAGTGACAGGAAATACACATAAACAAGTTTATATTTGGGTAGAAGAATAGAGGAAGAGTGGTAGTTAACCCTAAATCTGTCCTCCGTTTATATGTAAGCTTCTTCATTCACAGTCTCTATGTTTTGTTTTTTTTTTCTTTAAACAAATTTTCATAAAAAAACATTGGGGAGAAGATAGAAGTGAACATTAGTCACTCTGTAATACAAATATCCTGGAAGCAGAGATCAGCTGGCCTCCTCCTTTGTACCTCCTATGATTCTTCTAATGCCAAAAACATTACCTTAGACAAGGGTGACCCTCCAGTGGCATCTTCACCTGCACTCACAACAACACAACACTTTCCATAAGATCTTCGCAAATAACTCTTAGAGATGGTAAAGTCAACCTTTTTTACTTTAGTTGAATCAAAAGCTGCCTCTGGAACTTGGTACTAATCCCACCATGACGGGTCTGGATCTGGTCCCGGCCTGGGTCAGAAAAGGACTTCCCTCAGCCCCTGCTCATCCTTTCGTTCTTTAAAAGCAGCACAGAGACAGGGATATTTCTGATTTGTTCACAAAACTGCCTCTGTACTATGTCTAAAAGCATAATGGCAAAAATGAAGAAATGCTAGGACCTTTAAAGATGATGCACTTCAAGTTCTGTTTTCCTACTGAGTTAATAAGACCTTCATTCCTCTTGGAGAAATTTTCTTCAATTTTCCAAATGTTTAGCGTTGCGAGATAATTTAAGGTAAAATTACACATCTAAATACGGCTGAAGTGGTTTAGCACTTAAACTAGCCAGCTCTAGCCGACGACACACACCAAACCAGATGATTCCTTCTGCTTTTTCTTTTTACAATTAACATCATCTCTATACTATAAGCTAGTTAATAACTGAAGTGTTTGCTATTTCTCAATTACTATTCCTAAAAAAGGTGACAAGGTGTTTTTAAAGTGAATATATTATGCTATTAAAATACTCACCTATCATTATATAAGCCTCAGCATAATTATAGTTTTGTATAATTAGAGTTTTATGTCAAAAGATTTATAGCTTTATCACCTCAAGCAATATTTCACAGCTGCCAAGAATGATTTATGCAATAATGACTTAAACTGTAAAATAGAATCCTCAAAGGAAGGGCTGTCAAATATTCCTCATGCAAATAACTAGGTTTTTAAAAATTGATATTCTGGTAAACAGCAAGTCCAGTCGTACCCAGTAAAATCACACAAACTAGTGCAGGGTAGGAAGTGCTGCTTCACAATGGCGCTGTGCAGCTCACCATGCACTGCCTCCATGTGAACTCACTGCATCGACCATGGGGTTCAGACTGCTTGTAAAGCCTCTGACCACTTTGGAAAACAAGCTTTTGGAAATAAAGCCACGCTCATATTTTTGCTACTCCAATATGAGTGAATGAAAAAGTGGAAACAGTCTTAACTCTTTGTTAATTTGCTCAATGGGCATATTACATCACTATTTATATTCCTGTGAAATGCTAAATAAAGAATAAGAAAGCAATTTCTGTATATTTCAAACACAAGGAGCCTCTGAAAAGTAAATGATTTCAATAATGAGGTGTTAAGGAAACTTTAAAAAACAAATCAGTGAAAATGTTGTGATTTTGTCCCTTCCTGCTTTTATAAATGTAGTGTCTGATGGGTCTCCAAGAGACAAGACTTTCAAAGCACTTGGACTTCACAAGCTCTGATTTTGCAGATGCTGTGTGAATACAACCAATGGTGCTTTGAAACCAATAAACTCTGAAGATTCTCTTCAATGTATATGAACTAGTAGCAAAAACATAAGTTGATTACATTCATAGCCAATAAGTCTGACTGTGTCTTTACAATCTAAAGAAGTCATTCAAATTAATCTTTTTCTTTGGAAAAAAGAAAATGCTCGATCCATCACCTCCTGTTTCCCATATCAATGAAAACAAAATAGGCAATATTTGTCATTAATTCTAAAGATACCCAAGTTCTTGTAGACTGAGTCACATCTGAAAATGAAACCTACAGAATTAAAATCATCACTAAAAGTTGATAATTTCTATATCGAAACAAACTTCCAAATAAACATTTTTTGTCCAATTTTTTTTGTATAAGCAAAAAAATCACTAAAATAAGATTTGCATTAGTCAAATACCACATCTTCACTGAAGAAAATTTACCTTCAAGTTTGTGATAAATTGCTTTTTTAAAGTGTTTTGAGATTCTTTTACACATGCATATTATACAAGTTAAACTAGGTTTCAAAACATCACTATTCCACTTAATAAAAAAATAACTACTATTTGAAAACACTACCTGAAGTATCTAAGTAATCTGGACAGTCCAGAATCATTTTATATTTAAATTTTGTATGTTTAAAAAATTCTGAAATGTCCCAGGAAACATAATGACCAAATATGGACCAATATAATCTGTTGTAACCACAATATAGACTGTGTCAACATCATGATATTCCAATAGAAAAAAAAAAAAGTCATATAAATAAATTATTCCAAAAGTCAAATTGTTGACATCAGACACACAAACACACACTCACACACACTCATACACACAAGATGAGTTGCCTTTGTGTAGTTAAAGCCTCACTCCAAGAAATGTTTTCAAGACAACAGAGCAATTAGGCTGTTTCTTGTACCAACATTACTGATTGAAAAATGAGGGGAAAGTGAGAACTTTAAAAGCAATCTATGTATCGGTTGATAATCATATAATTGTTTTCATTCCAGATTAACCCAAAATTATACAAACCTGTTTTTCCAATCATACTTTGCTATGCATACTGACTCAAGTTGATGTTAAAAAAAAAATCCAGTGATTAAAAATTGTACATTTTATATCATAAAATATTTAATTATGAGAAAACAAGAGGAAAAGTTAAACCTTTTCCCTGCTAGAATTTGTTCTCTGTATTTTACCAAATGACAAGTAATTATATTATATAGGCTATACTTGTGTATTCATTTTCAAAACTTGAGTTACCTATAAAGCTACCTAGATACCCTTGTGCCTCACTAATGTCTATCAATGAACTAAAAAGAAATACATGATAATTCTATACCAACAAAACTAACTACAACATGCACTTTTAATCTATTCACCTTTATCCCTAATTGTCAAATATAATTAAGAGTATACATTTGGAAATGTATATACTTTAAAATAGGTTTGTCTGAATATTCATTACATGTGAGTTTATATACATACATATTGTGCATATAATGAACGCATGTCCACTAAGTGTGTATTTTTTTAGAACTTGTATAGGACTAAAATATTTATGGTCCCACAGCAAGCCGGAAAGAAGGAGGAGTGCCCTTGAAATTGAGGTATGACCTTAGGTTGAAGATGCCAGTTTGCTGCAGCTGAGGAAATGAATACTAACAACTCCACAGAGTCATAGGCCCCTTTTTCCATTTTTTTAAAAAGACAAATCTTGAATATATGAACAGGCTTTATTATTTGAATATACATAGTTTACTAGGCCAATTTTAGAAGCTTCTATATATCAGTCTTAATCTTGTGTAAAAAGGAGCCAAAGAGAAAAGTACTGCCTCTCAAATACAGCTGAAGAGCCAAGAAACATTTATAACATAGTAGTTTGAGTTTCAGATATAGTTTTCACCAAGACTTTGCTTTGTGAAGTATGTTTGAGTTCAAGCAAATAAAATTCTGTCTTTTTCTCCCACCAAATGCATATCAATGCAACCAATAAATTATTGCCCTTTTCATCATTCCTTAGAAAGGAGAGAAAGATTGATCTGTGGCATTTTGTCCTCAGTGACATTTAGTTACTGCACTTTTGAAGAGTACAGAGTACCCTTATTCAAAGAAGTTTTTCCTACTTGTCCACGAATGAGAGTATCCATATTTTTTGAATCCTAAAATACCATAAGCAACGCCATATATCTACACCTGAATATTTGAGATTTCTCTGCATATGAACTTTCAGTTATCACTTTTCAAAACTTCATTTAAATGAAATCAAATACAAGAAGTCCTAAACGGGTAAACTTTACCATTTTTGTGATAGTAGGTGACCTCCACTTTCCTCTCCTCTGACCCCAGCAATGCCTGGGCAATTTGGGCAATATCATGCCTCTTGGTCTCGGGCCCATGGAGAAAGTCGCAGGTGCAGGGCTTTTGCATGACATCTGGCCGAGAGAAACCAGTCATCTCACAGAACCCATCGTTGCAGTAGATGATGGCACAGTTCTGCACTCTAGCATTAGCAATAATAAATTTTTTATCTGTAAAAGGAAGATAGTAAGGTATCTTGTAAAAACCTTCCACAAGATTCTCATAAACATTAGAACAATTTTTGCATACTAGGAGATCTGATATGCAGGTAGTTCCCAAACTGCTAACTGTCCAGGCTTTTAAAAGGGAGGGAAAAGACCCAACTTTAAATGTGAAATATTAGTCATAAGCAGTTTGAACAAAAAAGAATTAAGGAGCTATTCTTCACATTTTGAGAGTGCAATTGCCCAAATAACCTAGTTCTCAAGCCCTCTAACTCCCTGGGGTCCTAATGCACACTCACACAATCAGCTGCTCCGTTGATATTTCCAGAATATCATCTAATTGTAACGTAAATATTTTCAAAGCCAAAACAGTGAAACATCCTGTAGATATGAAATTTCTCACTTTCACCTTGGCCTTCAGAGTACAACTTTCTCAAAGTAGTTATTATTCTTGGATTTGGCTTTTCTCTATCCCTCTAAGGCATACTAAACACATCATGTTAAGAAAAAAGGGCGGGGGTATTAACAATGAAAGTATTTCACAGTAATTTGCAGTTCAGTAATGCAAAGTTTCAACTTTTCATGATATACATTTTCCAGGAGATAAAAATATTTACACACATATACAGTAAATATCATGGTGATGCCTTTTCACTTCTACTTTGTGAGAACCTTGAATTTTTGTGTAGTAGTAGGTATTTTAATACAAAGGGTTTATTACTCTTTTTTAATTACAGACTATATTTACCATTTCCAGATAGAGTATGCAGCAGAATATACAAGTTTATTTTATACACAAGGTACTATATACTCATGTCATTAAAGACAGTACCCAAATAACTGCAAAATGTACAACATAAATGTGTGTTAATGTTGTTTTAAGAAAATGTCGAATATCAGCGAACAAGTATAAGATTTAAAATTAATGTATTTATCTAACATCCATTCCTTATAGTTAGTCCACATGAGGATATTGCATTTTTCTGCATTAAATCTTTGTGGGATTTACTTAGTGCACTTCAATTTTCAAATTTCTAGATGGAAATTGAAGGGGATAATGAGGGACAGAGATATTCTTTTGAATAATGAACTATTTACATTGGGAACCAGCACGAATCAAATAATACTTTTTCCAAATTATCCTGCATGGGATAGATTTACACTGATACAATGCAAAGTTTAGCTTTGATAAACTAGCAGCCAGCAAGCATCCCTGCCACGCTACAGTCTTGCAATTTAACCAAGGTGAAATATAGTTTGCATAGCCATTTCCACCGCTGTTACCATTTACATTCCCTAGTTCTAATAGTATTCTCTGCCCTGCTCCTGACTTTCAAAAAGTCTACAATAAAACAGCCTCAAAATATAAACCCAGGTTATACTAGTACTTTCCCTTTAAGATAGTAGAAGAGTAGGAAATTAAGTAGCAAGGCAGATAATGGAGCAGTGGGAGAGGAGGATCAAATTGCCTCCTATAAATGGAGACTATAATCTAAAATGTAAATCAAAATTAATATCAGAGGGAGAACACTCGCTGCCATGCGAACCTCCTGGCTCGGTTTCACAGCCTCCTAACTTGCCCGAGCCCGGAGTTGCCTTCTCCTCCGCTTGTCAGCGGCAGACGCCAAGTGCACTATCAAAGCAGAAAGCGAGGGAGAGAGAAGAACAAATGAACTTACTTTGCCCTTCAAATTTCCGTATGATGGTCCCCAGAAATGTGTTTTGCGGTGCCACATGCCCCCTGCGGACAGGCATGTTGAGCCCGGTGTGCCGAGGAGCGCTCCCCGCGAGCTCTGGAGTTCTCCCGGGATCTCTCCTCGGCTAGAGCCCAGGCCAGCGCGCGAGCCGCTCTTTGTGGCAGAGCATCCTCGTTTGAAACCAGAAATCTCTTCCCATTAGCACCACTTCTGGACACCCGCTTTCCCCACCGGAGTCCAATCCATTCCCCTCACCTCTCGAACTGCCGCGGTGAGGGTTTGGGGTGGAGAGAGGGAAGGAGGCGGGGTGAGGGGAGGTGGCGGGGGAGGGAGGAAGGAGGAGGGAGTTGTGGGGGTGGGATGGGAGAGGGGGGCGGGGAGTCAGAAGGGCAATCGATCTGTTTCTCTGCCCCCAAACAGCGCCAATTTCCCGCTGCAAATGGGCTTAACCGGGCGGTTGCCCAGAGCTGTGAGGATGGCCGAGGGGGGGATGGAAGACTTGTCAGGCTGTTGCAGGAAGGGGAGAAAGAAAAGGAGGCTTGGGGGGGGGGGGAGGTCTTGACGTTTCTGTCCCCGCCTTCTCCCCTACACACACACACACACACACACACACTCCCTCACTCACACACACATAGGAACGCGCGCGCGTGCGCGCGCGCTCGTTCCCTTTATCCCGAGAGCTTGGGCGCCGCCACAGCTCGGATTACTCAAGCGTGCTTTAACAGAAGCCAGCCAAGAAATCTCCAAAACTCAGTGACAAACAGCAACTCTGGGAAGGTGATCTCCACGGCCGCCATCCACGGGTTCCTTCCCTGAGCTCCTCACGTCGCAGTAGCTAAAATACCCTTAGCTGCAAAGAAAAGACAGGTGGGAAAACAGCCCCTCAGTGAGGACTATTTCTAAACTCTGGTGGCGTTCAGGAGGTTGAGGGTTGAGGATGAACCACTTAAAGGTGCAGGTTTAGCCTCAGGGTGCACTGAGATCCCTGGGCTCTGCAGAGGTGGGTGCTGACGCCCGGGCTGAACTGGCACTCCGGTCCCTGCCCAGCGCTGAACTGCGCCTCCCAAAGACCTAAAGTGCTGGCGACGCCGTTAGGCATGCCCACTTCCACTGTTTGAACCCCCAAGGAGATGCAAGGTTGGGGTGAGTGACTGCGTCTCTGGGTGCTGGAGGCTGCGGGGAAGATGAGAAGGCCAAAGACCGTGCGAGCAACTGGTACAAAACAAGGCAAGAGTTTGAAAAGGGCGAGGCTGGGCGCCAGGGGGAAGGAACAAAAGGTGGGTGGGGCTAAGAGTTACCAGCCTTGGTGTGACCTCCCATGCTACTCATCTCCTGAACACACTAGGCACAACATTCTGATCTCTTCCACCATTTTTAAGGAATCATCTTCTTTAGGATGGGAAAGGGTTCAAGAGGCAGAATTCAGTCCTCTTCCTTTTTGCTTCTCAGAGCACACCAACGTAGGAATCTCATTGTATAAGTACACACACTTCTGCCCAAACAGTCCTCCTGTAAACTTAACAAATCAAATGTGACAAGCCATGCCTGGGGATGGTGTTTTCTAAGTTGTTATTCTTGCTTCTTTTGGCTTCATATGTTATAATTCCCTTCTCTCCTCTCCACGCCTTCCTCTAATGGACATTGCCGCCACTACAACCTACCAGAACCACAACACGGACACACCTCGTATCCAGCTGGGAATAAAGGATTCAGAGCCCTCTATCAAAACATGCAGTTTCACGATAAAGTTTTGGGGGTTTCCGTGCCTTGAATCAGTTGAATTTTCTGTTTGAACCTCAAATCTGAAGTAAAAAAATAAAAGTAAAAAAAAATGAGGATGGCACCGAGAAGGTGAATCATGCAGACTGCAATAAACAATGAGGAAATAAATATAACGACTTTTATTTTACGTTCCAGAAAACACAAGCTAAGGGGAAAAAATCCAAACAAAAACAAGAACCTAAGCAATTCTTACTCTTTCATATGAGAGTAATGAAAATGAATCAGAAAGGTGAGATATTGCCTGGGAATGTTGGGTTTTCCAGTTAATGAGTTCTCCCTCTCTCGGAATATAAAAAGACACGCCCCTCCAGTGCATGGCTTTATTTACTCTCCCTTTCCGTACAAGTAGATCAGATCGTTCTGTCATTCTGTTCGCTAGCTGCAGCTGGGCTTGTGAAAGAAACAACGCAGTTCTCCCAGGCACTAAACGTGTGAAGGAAGCTATCCATGGTGCTGACTCTCGCCTCTGCCGTTAGCAACTGTAGCAACTGCTCTCTGCCTACACCAGCAACAGACAATAGAACTGCAAACTCAGGCAAGTGGCCCCGATATATTCACATACACTACTTGTCTTCACTGTATACCACAGAAACAGAGTGCTCTGTGCATCCAATTTCTAAAACAATATCTGTTTCTACTTAGCTTCTTAGGTAAATCCAAGCTCAAATGCATTGCTCCCCAAATACATCAAGAGAAAACTGAACAAACCACCACATATGGTATAGATTGTAATTAAGTTTTCATGTGCATTAAAAAGACATTATATAACCCTGGCAGGTTTGGCTCAGCTGATAGAGCGTCGGCCCACAGGCCAGAGAGACCAGGGTTCGGTTCCAACTAAGGGCACTTACCTCAGATGCAGTTTGTCCCCGGCCCTAGTTGGGGTCGTGTGGGTGGTAATCAGTCAATGTGTCTCTCTCACATCTGTGTTTCTCTCTCTCTCTCTCTCCCTCCTGCTCTATCTGAAGATAAATGCAAAAATGTCTTTAGGTGAGGATAAAAATAAATAAAATAAAAAGGCATTATAGCACAACAGTAAGTTAAGTCATATGAAAAATACTTTTATCAAATCACATGTAAATTGGATGAATGAATATTGCTTTAAAGGGAAACAGTCATTTCCAAATGCTGTTTGAAACATAACATTGATCTGCCGTATGACAAGATACATCGACACGCAAAGGGTAACTGTGTCTCTATTTATGATTGTTGTATTAACTTTCACAGATTATTGAGTATGAAAACACTTTAATTTCACTTCAAGGATAGAAAAGTGTCTTCTTCAAAAGAAAGTGTCATTTTTCTCCCTGAAGTATTCTTTCTCTCTCTACAACCTTTAGAGTAGTCTGTTTGTTTGTCCTGAGAAATTAAATGCATGATGGTTAAACTTCCATTGTCTGTGTTCATGTGAGCAATCTCTGTGGGCTTCACATTTTCCCCAATCTCATTTAGCTCTAAGATTAGTTCTATTAAGGATTTAGTGTAAGATCATAGGACAGTCTATAACCTATGTATTGTAATTGATTGATCTGAGCAGAAGATTAAAGGCATCCTGTTTCTAAATTACATTAGTAATCGTGTTCATGCATTATACATTGGTACAGTGGAGACAAGTACATCAATCTATATTCAGCCAATAATAGAATAAAACCAGAGAATGGTAATCATGGCTGCTTGCTGGCTGGAAGATTACTCCTCCTCTTTGCAAAAGAGAACTTTAGATTTTCATGTTGGAGCCAGGTTTTACAAGTTTTTAGTATTTTGGAAACTATTTTTAGAATTTCAAATATTGAACAAAGCACATAAGTTCATTTGTTGAAATCTATCAAAGGTATAGTTTAATACTCAACACAATCTACTTATGAACAAAGATACAGCATAATTCAGGTATATTCTTAAAATTGCTTAATTATTCTATTGCTTTTAAATTAAGTAATTTAGTATTTGCAGTATGTTTAAAACTTTTCAACAATGCCTACCACATAGCAAGTACTCCATAAATTGTATACTCACAAAATTCTGCATAAAAGCCCACAGAACTAATGGAGGCCTAACCAAGAATCCTACATTAGAAATTCTTTAAATATCATACATTAATGTTTGAATCTTTAAGGAAATACTAGCAACTGTTATGGGCTATTTAAGTGGAATAATTGTATTGAAAGAGAATGAAAACCTTTTGAGATCAAATAAGCAGTGTAATTTGTTTCATATTTTTGAAATTATGTAGAATATATATCAAAGAAATAAATGTAAAGTTTTCTCAATTTGGCAAAATTAGTTTAATGGTATGATGACCACAATGCAGCATGAAAAATACTATTTTAATGTGTCCTTCTAAGGGGATCCTGGGTATTATCTTAGTAACTGGATCACATTCAACCTAAGAAGCATCTGACTTTACACTTATAAGTTAGGCAAATTTTAGCTTATATTATCATATGTAACTGTAGCTATAATAACAACAGAGGCAGAAATGTTAAGGTTATCTAATTAGAACAACAATATTTCTGTACAGGCTGGAAACATTGGATTTGAACCTGAAATTACAATTTATAGGAGACACTAATGAAAGTGTTAAGCTCTTTTGTTCATAGCTTCCTTTCTAAAATCAGTATAACAATCCCAAACTTTCAGTTTTGTGTAAAGAATAACTAGGAAAGTGGTTATAAAGTGCTTAGCACAAACTGGCATATTGTGAACATTTAAATAACAGTTGTCCTACAATCTAACAGCTCTATATTTTGAAAGCTGGTAAATTAATAATAATAACATTAATATATAGGATTTAACTAATTTAGATTAAGGTTGTGCTGGTGGCATGTGTGTTTGGGGCATAATAAGTATGGTATACTCTTGTCCACCAGCCTTACCTCCATCCCATCATCCACCTTCTCCCAAAGTACTACCCCTATTGCATGACAACCCCCGATATGTTCTGCCAACATAAACCTGCCTTTGGTGTATTAAATAGGGCATTACAGAATGGTGGATCCAGTCAATATCTGTTCCATATCATTCACAAGTTATCTCCATTTCTAAATATTCTCCCCTCACCTTAACCCCACTCCCATTCTTCTGCTGAATGCCACATGTGCTTCTTGTCTGAGAAAATGAGAGGGGGAATTATATCAAGAACCAGCCAGCATAGCTCTTTCATTGGACATAGACTATAGCCACACCGTCTTCCCTCCAACGAGGCTTTGGCATGCTCCTTTATTCTTTTTTATATGTCGTTTGCTTTCTACTTTTTTTTTAAATCTAACACTTTATTCACTTAGTCTTTCAGTCTCCCTGATTTTTATTAAGCTGCAATCCCCTCTGTTCTACTTGGCACCCTAAGCTGTGCTTGTTCAATGTATTTCTGACTTGGCAGGATAGTTCAGTTTTGAACTACTTTACAGTGCTCTTAAATAGATGTCTGGGACGTTGTCTCTCCAGGAGCTTTGCCATAAACAACACTTCTCTCAGAAGAATGTGATCCTATCTTGATCCCTTGCACT